AAAAGAGCCACGAGGAATCATACCTCTAGAAAATGTTCGTGTTCGTGCCATTGAAGATAAAGGGAAGCCATACTGTTTCGAAATCTACAGCGACAGCAGTGAGGTTTGTATTTATCAGTGAAATTTCATTAAATCTAGTGTCTGAAAGGTTAGATTCATAACTTTTCTGTGTTATTTAGAATTTCGGTGATATTTTCGCTTATGATTTTAATTCGAATTTTCTTAAATTTGTTTCATGCTTAATCTAGATATAAACTGTTAGGTCACTTCGAAATATCTAAGCATTCTGGTGCAATTGTCTTATTTCTATCACTTTGAGCTTTGTTATTTTTTATTGTGTACAACCTTTTACACGATAATTCAAGTTTAGTCTTTTTTCAGGTAATAAAAGCTTGTAAAACAGAACCAGACGGAAGAATGGTTGTAGGTCGACATACTTCTTACAGAATGTGTGCTTTTTCACAAGAAGAGATGAATCAGTGGATAAGTTCTATTGAGTACGTTTTTTGATTATCTAAAACTAAATGCATTGGATAGGTATTATTTTTGTATGTTTAGAGATACAGGTTTCTATGTTTTATTGTTCGAACTGAAGCAGCTAAAACAGATTTTTGTTACATTTTTGTAACTCGCAAAAGTTAGTTTACTTTCAGACGATCAATAAATTACGATCCGTTTTATCAAATGTTGCAGTTGAAAAAGATGAAACTAAAAAATAAAACTTAGGAAATTTTGTTTTTTGTGCTATTGTGATAGAAATTTTAGTGGGACAGTTGTATGCAGATATCCTAGAACTATGTATACGTTATTCATCGTGTTATTATTGACATAGAATAATTCAGATAGGCAACTCACTTATTTAATGTTTTGCCGCTTGTAATTGATTTAAATTAAATGAATAGAGTTTATATTTGATAAAAATACATTTTTGTACTGACCAAAATCCATAAATGGCAAAACAACCGATTCTCTACAATTACCGTGAAGGACGATCTGTCTCTTAATTGTAACGTTCTACTTTCAAAATAACTATAGTAGCGATTGCCAAATATTCATCTATCTGTTCTGTTTGTTAAAATATGCAGTAACGAAGTATTTATGCATTATTTCGACACATTGTGTTTGCTGGGTATTTGTGGTTTTGCACTTAACAACGGGTTTTGCTTCAAGTTTCGAAATTTCTGCCTAAATACATGTATGCTTATATAACTCTGCCGGTGATATGAACATCTTACATGAAAATCTCAACCTAATTTAGATTTTCTGAAGGGATCGGCTGCCTTCGTTATTATCGGTTTTTGTCAGTTTCATTGTCTTAATGTGTTATTTGCTCAAAGATTATTGGTTCAAAAAAATTAATGACATGACGACCTGCGATTTGCATAATTCGCTGATGTGCTCCGTTCATACATACAAATAGTTCAAAGTATAATTTGTTATTGCACTTGAGCTGTATTTGTTTCACTAATATGATGTTTAATTATTCTCATCACAACTTGTTGAAAATAATTAAACTCGGCATGGCAGGAGCAGGAAAGACCGTCTCTAGCAGTGTCTCATGCGTGTACATCTTTGTGCTCTTTCTTAACTTCCAATTTGTAAATCGTTAGTGACTGGCAATAAAATTTCGTATTAGTTTCGTTTCATTTAAATTCCACATCTTATTGGAAACGCTATTCCTACCATCAGATAAATAAAAACTGAAACATGGTGTCAGTAGCAGGATTGGCGTTTCTGTCAGTATTAAATTTAAAATGTTCCTCATTATCTCGATGCATGGCACTGCTGAAAGTGAACGTAATGCAGAAATAGACAAGGTGCTTACCAGTTCGAATTGATGTCTCCTTGTTTTCAGTGTTTATAGCATAATGCTTTCTAAAGGGGAAATTTACATGGTTAATAAAAATGATAACTTTGTTTTTTTCCTTGCAATGGTTCCGTTGGAAGCCGCTTACTATTCCTGTGTTACATTTTCTAAATTTTGTTATTTGTGGTCAAGGTTTTAGAGAAATGCCCTGTAAATTGTTGGTTATAAAATGCACTGAAGCATTGAAAAAAAGCAAAACGTCACGTCGGCTGTATTAGCCTGGAATTTCGCCGTAGTTGTGGTGTAGTGCGTGTAGTTTCAAATTTTATGCTGCTTTTACATTATTTGGGCTGCTAATTATTAATAGTCAGTTTTACTAGAAAAGAGGAATTCGTCTACTCAATAGACTAACTAAAGACTTTTTCCATCGATAAAGTAGACGCGACGAAAGCGTCTGTGCCAACATAAATTACTCGGTTAAATTACGGAATAGAAGAGAAAGAATTTGTGATAAATGTGCCGATGATAAAATGGTTGTTTAACATAAAGGAAAGAAGAAGAAAGGTGGCGAACCTTTTTGGAATTGGATTCGCCACCTTTCTTCCTCTTTCCATTATATGTAAATACAAATAGCATATATTAGAAATATTTGACATTCGTCGGGAACTAACTTTTCATGGAGGACACACAATTGTAGGTCAATCCTGTAAAATTTCCGAAACTAGAAATGAAATTTTTTTGAAGGTTTACAACGATAAATTTCTGAACTGAGGCAGTTATGACAGCTAGATATGCGGGAGAAATTATGAAACTGAGACAGAAATTGTATCTGAAGAAAAAGGAATCCTGCTAAAACTTTACGGCCAAAAAATATTTTGAAAAAGTTGTTCAATTCAGGGGTTCTACAATTCTGTAAAAGACATGGAAAGAGACTAAAGATAAATCTCATTCTTGAGAAAAAGAATTGTGGTACACTTATTATCACAAAAGAAAAATGATACCTTTTTACATAACTAAGTTGCAAATCAAAATTAAGAAAGTAACAAATTAGTAACAATACCAAATGCTATGTTGTTTCACTTAGTACTTTTTATTATAGATTTGGTTAAAAGGTTTCAGCTGAAATGCTAAGAAATAAAAGAGGGATTAGAACGTCGGTCAATTTTTGATGATAAGCGGAAAAATAACGGTCAATTAACTATAGAACAATAAAATATGGTGTTCTACACATGAATAGCAGATGTGGCATGAGTGGTTCGGGTAATCTTCAAGACCACATTTAAAGCAACTTGGGTTAAGATTAGTCCGCAAAACCCTTGAATCAACTCTGAACTTCTTTCGCAGTCAATGAAACCGGGTGTTCAAAAATTTAAAAATTATGGAAAATGTTAAAGAAGTGAACGAGGGATATGCTGTACTACATAGCAGAAAGACTGTAATTAAAACAAGACTCAACGATAATGCAAAAGTTAAAAAAGCAAAGGCGTCAATGAAGCATTGAAGTGATCTGTGATATTTAACAAGAATCTTACTTGATGATGAAAATCATACCAGTGATAGAGAAAAGTTAAGTGAGTTCGTGATTCGAAGTCTTAAAGATTCAAATGTATTCCACTTGTAATAACAAGTAGTTCAATAATGTTGGTTAAAATGGTTGACAAATATCTGACTGATTTGCGCATCTGATTTAGCTAGATGAATATAACAGAATTTATAAGTTGACAATATGCTTGTGTTAGCTGATGCGACATCAGAATTAATAAAGATATGCTGAAAATGAAATGTTGAAATGCTCTAATGAATGTGAATAATCTTTCATTTAGTAATTTCAACTTCAATCAAGAAGTATCTGTGGCGGGCCGTCATCAAGAAAATGCGAAGATCTTCGAATTGCAATAGGATCATAAAGTACATCGAACAGTCTCCAAACCGAAAACCAAATTCTGCTCTGATGTGCAAAATGAAAAAGTTTATATCTTCATAAGTTTCCTTTGTCAGATCTTGTTACTTCTGAAATTGTTCCTGCAAAAGCTATGAAAAATGAGATTATCAGAATTATTAAAATTGGACTATCAAAATCTGAATTAATGGATATTTACTGAAGAAGTGAACAGTTGTGGAATAGAAAATCGAAAGACAAATAATGCCAAAATCCACTACATGCATCTGAAATAGAGTATGTATAGCAAGTTAAAAACAGCTCTCGCTTTTGTAAAAAACAAATATTCAAATGAAATAAACAACACGAGGAGTAGCGGTCATAGATGTAAAACTTTAATATTTAATAGCAAAGAGTGATAGGAACAAGATGATGTTGTAAATCACAGTGCTTAATGAACGTTTCGTACAGAAACGACAATTTAAGGCTAATTTCTGGTACATCTCGAAACAATCAAACCAGCTGATAAGGCATACTAACAGCTAAATTAAATGAACATACACTGTGGTGACAGACGCTTTTACATCATTATGCGAGCCAATTACATAAAGAGAAATAATTTTCAATTGAAATTAATAACAATCCAATTTATAGAATGGAACTTTATTAAAATATTATGCACGCGCATGTAGAAAGAAACTCTTTCTACAGATTATTTGGTAATACGATGCGATCAAGTTTCTAACTTCATAGTTCCAACAGAATATAAAGAGTTGATCGGTTCGAAATATCACAACAATTAACTTCGTGACAATCAGGAGATGTACAGTAAAATTCATGATAACAGTTCTCCTACAATGAATTATAGAACTATATTAATAAACCTCTAAAATTAACTCATCAACAAATCAGTAAAAACTTCAACTAATCAGAATGATCAACTATTCCACACTACAACAACATTTGCTTGATTATTGTTACAATGATATGATAATTGCTGTAACGAACGAAAAAATGTTGTTCATTTCTTCATGATAGATCATCAATAAAAAGTAGGAAACAATATCGTCTTCGGTTTAAAATTATGACAAATTTAGCAGTTGAACGGATCAGCCCAAAGTTAAAGTAGATCATGATATCAGAAAGCATCAATTGAATTTTACAACGAAGTTGTCAGCAAGTATATATGATATTGATGAGTGAGAACAGAATGACAAACAATCGAAGATACTCCCAATAGGTCAGCAAGGAGATCTTTCTAAAATAACTGACATTCAAACTAATCAGTTATATCAAATGATCCTTTGGAGCACACTATGCTTCTTCAATTTTTGCATTATTCTCCTCATCAAAATCTACTTTTACGTCATTTAGATAAAGAGCGTACAGTTCATTAGCCAAATAATTTAACGAAATGTCTTCACGAGTACTGTCGACAAATTCTGCGATACACTCATAAGCTTCCAACTCCTGAAATGAGGGGAAAATGACTACTGCAACTGTTCAGCAAGAGTCAATTTCAGTCTGTTCAGTGAATAGGAAGGCCACAAAACAATTATTTTCTGTGGACGATGTCTGAGATAAGGATAAAAATAACTATAAAAACTGCGAAAGTGGTGGCAAATCTATGTTTTTAAAAACAAACTTTGATTAAGTCCTTTGCCTGCTTCAGTTCACAGTAAGCTTTTAAAGCATAGCATGCTTTCAAAGCAGAATGTATTAAGACAACAACGCACGCAACATGTTCGGTGTTTGAACTCTTGAGGATGTTACACATTATCCTGATGTGTTTCGCATCAGCCAGCTTAATTGCGTATCTGGGCTTCCACATCTCATTCAACGAACGTAACGTGATACAAGCCACATCTTTGTAAATTGGGGTACCCTAAAAACATTTTGATTCAAATAAATTCAACAAAATTGTTTAATCCAATAACTACGCTCGTTTTACTTGAACTGTACTTATTTGGATTAGTTCTATAGTATTTCCAATGTGCTGGATTGTCTAATCTAATAAGCTTTGCATCAAGATTCTCACTACTAGCATAAAACGAATAACGCGTTTTAAATTCTTAGTTATTAAGGCGGAATACAATAATTTTAGCGCTTGATGTCAGCGAAAACCCCACGAAAAGTTGAAAGTTATCAGTTGGTACTCTCCACTGTAAATTTAATTTAACGAAGTATTGTTGAAAATGAATATCCGTTATGGTTTGCTCCATCAGTGAAACGTTTTTACTTCACCTCACGTGACTCGCTTTCATCTATTTTGTTTAGAACATTTGAATAGCGTAACTCACGTCATCCAGGAGCTTAAGAAGCAGCAGCACAAGTCCAGAGTCCACCATGGATCCCACGTATTTTATGTATTTTTTTTTGGACAGAAGATTTCGAAGAATTGAACAAGCTTCAAAACCGATCTCTGGAGCTGAATGACGAGCGAGAAAGGGCACGATCTTCTTAATCAGTCCCATTTGAAGAACGGCCTAAAATTGTTTTCAAGTGAGCTTGAAAACAAAGTAACATATGAAAACATATTTCTTACTCCTTTCTCTTTGCTTTTATAATTTTATCCTAAAAGAGAACAATTTCTGCCATAACTTATTAAAAACAAAGTATTTGATTTCTTAATTTCTCTCAATCAACATATTGATCATTAAGTACTACAGTAACAGTGAAGAAATCTACAAGTAATAATACTCAATACGAGCAAAAATAGGGCAGTAAAATGAAAACTTTGCAAAAAAGATTTTTTTTTCTTCAAAATCGGCAAAGAATTACACTAGTGTTGCTGCTATGCTGTTTTACAAAGTACCCAACGATGAAAAATGCCGATGCGGCTTCAATTTCAATTACGCTGTCCAAAAATTGAAGAATATTTCTCACATAGCTATGTTCAAATGTGATAACAAAATCTTTGTTACGAGTGACTTCAATCACAATGTTCAAAACAGCTGCACGGGTTTTCCCGTCCTGAATAGCATGAATTATTTAACACTATAAAAAGGAATGTCAAGTGTTTCCTTTACAAATTTCGACTACTGCATGGCATCGAGATATATATGGAGTGTCGGTAGAGTATAGTAACAATAACATGTGACAAAACGAAAAATATAAAGAATGGACTTGCTCACCCATTAAGTTTTGATAGAATAAAACTTCGAACAACTCAACAAATAGCTAATGGGCTTTTATAAAAAGACGAGTTATGTCAGCACAGCGATTCACATATTTGCTTCCTCAATCTTGCTAACCTGCTTTGCAAAAATACAAAAACGAGACCTCATGTTGCAAAAGAAAACGAGCACTGCTTGCAAGACATTCTAGAACAAATTCCGGAATGGGTTTATGGTAGCACAAGTCTTGTAGAAAGGATGTAACTGAGTTCGTGAATTCAAGCGATATCTCAGAGTGATGCCGTGCTAGCAATTCCGATACACGTAAAGAACCCCAATTAGCAACATCATCGCGCAGATTAGAACTCTTGATTGCTATTTGTGAACACGCTTCAATACCCTGAAATTTGCAATACAACCAACGTTCAGCTTTGCATTACAGACCAGAAACCCATTGCACAAAGCCAAAAAAATAAAATTCGTTTGTTCATGATTTCTCTGAAAAAATAGTGACCTACTGCTGCACCTTTGAAAAGTTTTTTTTTACAGAATAGCAAGTATAAAAACGACTATACCTCCTGGACGACCAAAAAAACATCACGGTCCAGAACAGCTTTGATTCCTTCTTTTAATCCTCGTGGTATCAAAATTTTCAATTGTTCTTCTGTCATGTATTTTACAAGTACCAACAAAGCATGTGTAGCGTAGTACTGGATCAAAACATTCTATAAAATAAACTGCCGAGTATAATTTAAATAAAGTGTGGTAAAGTGGTCAGGAAAGAACCGCAAATGAAGAAATATGAGGAATGTACTGAATTTCTTCACTCCCCACACCTTTTAAAGAAAAAGCTTCTTTATGAGAAAAGATAAAACAACACCTTGAACTGCATTCCCTCAACCAAAATCACATCCAATCCTTCACGAAGGATTTCGTTAACTGGGGGATCGTAATTATCCACGAGGACATTGAAAAGCTGGAAACTTCGTTGGATAGTTTCCATAGTTGGCCTTGATGTTCTCAGCATATCCATAATTTCCGTCACGTTTGGTTTGTCACATGGAAATAAAAAGCATCGGGAAAGGGAAAACGAAACGGAAATTTTGAGCACTGATTTTCGGACTTTCGAAAGAACTGGTATCGTACTGCTGAGCCAAGTCAGAATGCTCAAACCTCATGCGAAATTACTGAATAGATGGAGCAAACTGAATAGTTTGCAACATGATCTTGTTTATGATCAATGAGTAGGCTGCAGCCAGTACGCTTAAGGATTTAACAGTTCTAATATTTTAGCCAGTATAAAGGAAACGAAATTCGTAGCGTGATCGCTAGTGAACTTTATTTCAGTGAACAACTAAAAATAAATGTACTAGAGGATTGTCCGAGATTAAGACATGCTGCACAGTTTATGTTCCGAGCTGAATAGGCAGAGGCGTCTTCATTACTTGACATTTCGCTCTCGGATGAATGACCAAATGTAGGCCAATCCTGTTGTTTAGCGTAGAACTTACGCTGTTTTCCTTTTCGACTCATTCGTTTCCCCTTCTTGCCCATAATTTGCCTCGTGTTGCAATATCGAAAAACCTGAAGAAAGAAAAATATAGATAGAAGAGTACTTCAAGTTTATTATGATCATTCGTGCGCACTTTGTTGATTGCTAGCACAAAAAATTTGAAACATCAGTTCACTCAAATATCTTGAGTTCAATTTTCCCTAAATTTTCAACAGGAGAGTCTTTGTCATTCACTTTTTCTTTGTACTGATTGTTCAGGTTGGCTTCTTACAGTTGTAGGACATTCAGTGCTCTCATGGAAGATACTTTAAGATACTTGTTCTTGTAACCTTCCCTCAAATAGAATAGAATCAAAATTCATTTGATCATTTCAAGTCAGTAAATTCTCACGCCGTGGATTAAGCATAAAGTAACGAATGTTGCAGCAATTATCGTAACAGATAT